TAAAAGGTTTCTATAATCCACCTCAGGAATGACAATTTATCGTACTTTGCACAATTTCAGAGGACAAAAACAAGAAAAAACAAAGTTTTGCACATCTATTGGATATTGTGCTGATATTCAACTGAATCACACAAACTGAACATAGTTGTGCAACTGTGTTGAGGCTGGGTTCCTGCCTGGATGCAGTCATCCAGCAGCTGTGTTTGTTTGGTAAGGGTGTGCTATGGATATTACTTTCTCTGGATTTATTTTCTAACATCTTAATCCTGATGATGTCCATCCGTTGACTTTTTTCACCTGTTTGGTAGATCAAAGCAGTATAGCCAGTCACATGACATCATTTCCTCTTGTATTTCAGGTGATTGAGCTCAGGAGCACTGGTCTGTGAGGAGATCCCATATGTTGGTGGTCACTAATCTCTACCTTAGGCAAATTATCGTTTTAAAACATGCTCAGAAAAAAACAGTTTTAAAAGCCTGGCAAATGATGTACCGAGCTGCTATCTGAAATGTAAAATGTAGATGGAGTTGGCCGTTCCCTTGCCCTCAGAGATTAGATAGTATTTTTGGACACTTTTTTCAAAAGTAAGTTGTAAAAGAAATTATGAAATGATAACGAATAGGTTACAACTATTTGATTGCAGGTTCAATTTGAATGTGGGTACAAAATATTCCATTAACAAAGAAACACAACCCAAGATAAATGGCATCAAGCCATTTATCTATTTACAGGCAATTTCATTCCTGTGCATCAATATCAATGCTGCACTGCATCTCTTCTGCTTTGGAAAATCTGTGCAATGAAAAGCACTTTGGCTCTGAATAAGCACTTAGCTATTGGATTTATCTACAAACAAAATGGAACGATGATGGCTTCACTGTGATAGAGAACATTACAATCCCTACAATTCACTGAATTTTAATCACACTTTAAAAATGTAAGGAGCGGTGTATTTTGTTTCTATTCTCCTAAAAGTGTTTTTTTTAAGTTACATTGGTAGCACCTCTTTGTTAGTTAATACACTGTACAAACTTTAAATTCCAAAGTAATTATCAGTAAACTGATTAGCAAATATCATGTTTTATTTTACAATTTATCGATGGCAGAAGCAAGTAAACACAAAATCAGTTTAACAGTCTGAACTTGTTTCTTTCTGATAAAGTTGCCGGTGGAGGGACCAAGGGTCATGTTAATGCATGCTGATTGTAGCTTTCTTGCCTCAGACTGAGGACAAATGCCACAGAGGGTGATTAAATCCAGGCCCAACGTTTGGACAGTCCTGGGGCGGATTTTCCGAGAGCAAGGGAGTTGGCGCCAGGGATCCTGTGTATTTTCCACCCTGATCTCTGCTTGGCAGCGGCCTAAATAATAAAGCTCTTTTTACTGAGCTGCCTGGGGTTCCCTGTGTACAAACATAAGGCACCCTCTACCCCCCAAGAACCCGTTTGTCTCTGCTGTTTTAACATGACCTGCAGCCATGGGGGTTTAACTCACACTCCGCCAAGCTGCGAGTTCTGGTGTTGTCTGAAAGTCAGCCCCCACTCTGCTCCAAACTCATGCTCATACAGGGGTCAAGCTAATTTAGTCTTGAAGTCATTTTACCCGGCCATAAGTTCACAGTGCTGGAATTGATGAGAAAAGAGTGGATGCAGCTAAGAGCTGATAACCATCGAAAAAGTAATCTTGAGGAAAAATGGAAATGGAAAGAGCCCCAAATGTGAGGTAACTTGGCAAGTTCTCAGACTACAATGTATGTGTACTAATACCGCTATGCTAGTCAGTTTTCCACATATGTTTTTATGTCCCATGTTATTTTTAATTGCATCATGGAGTGCAGCAGTGTTTTACTCCGGTACAATCACGGAAACCTAGCGAGCAGTGATGAAACGTCCATTCATGCAGCCATGCGTGGATGTGTGTTTATTTAACTACTGTGTAGGTTAATCTGGGCTGTGTGCTGATGCCAAGGCTCACAAACCTTGTGCACTCTGATCAGCCTGCCAGCTTTGAAATTTGAAGCGGCAAGCGAAAACCTCCTCCAAAGGCTACGGCTCAGGCCTCTTTTGCCCCCAGAAGTAAATTTAAATCAGGTAAATCAAAGAGTTTTTTTTTTTTCTCTTGCTGTAGACTATTTCATGAGTACCTCTCTTGTCATAAAAGTGTGTGCTTTACAGTAGAAAATGTTCCACTGAAAGGATTTGGAACCACCTTTACCTCCACATGCCCACAAACATGAGGCATTTCATGGAGATCCAGACTCTGAATGGCTGTGTAGGCGGAGGGGTGAGCTGTAAAAGCCAAAACAGTAGCTCAGTTCTGGTCGAGGAAAATTAAGCAATTTTTCCATTTTTTACCACTGAGCTATTTTTCCCATGAACAATAAAATGAAAACAACACAAGGAGGAACACTGGAAGAAATTAGTCCTCTACTGCAATACCTAATCAACACAACCACAACACTCCGTGTCAGGCCCTGTTATTGTGCTGCGATCGCTATTAAAAATAGAAGTGAATAAAAATCCCAGAACATTTTAGGTTAAAGACTTGCCATTGCATAGGTAGTTTAAAGCCAATGCTTTTAATGTCACCAGAGAATAATAATGGTAACGATAATACTTTTCTCATTCTACACACACATTTTCTGTCTTCTTTCCAGTAACTTCTTTTCAAGCCTCACCTGCAAACTCATTGTCAAGCACACAATATACGAGCTCCATGTGCGTTTTTGTATGATTATAACAGAAGTGCACATGGTTCACTGTTTGCTGTTCCAAAAGTTCAGTTTCAAACAGGAGACCACATGCAGAGACACGCTTAGACCTCAGAAACAAGGGTACAAAACCATCTTCCATTCCTACTTTTCAAAATAACCATCATGACTTCACAGCAGCGTGTCCTCGCTCTGCAGTCCATCTGTGACTTTGTGCAGAATGTGTAAGGATGAGGTGCTCACTCAGTAGCCTCTCCAAAGCACACCACGCTGCCATCTGTGCATGAATTTATCACACTTACTTACATTTCACTTTCAGCACCTTGTAATACATTTAATTTGTCAACATTGTTGATGTTTCTTTTTATATCTCGTTTGCCAGCAACAAATTCTCATTTTTTTTGTTATTTTCTGTTCTCTTTATCCCCCTGAAATAATTTGGCGTTATCTTCCTGGTATCTTTTATTTTTCTGCCCTGGTGTCTGTACCTGGCTGCACACACCTTGATCACCACTCTATGTTGTGTCTGGCCAACACCATCAATCTCTACTGCAACACAAACAGGAGGTCCTGCGTCATTGCCAGTTTACCTCAGTCCCTGTGCACATTTCTTCTTTGCCTGATAGCCATCTGTACACCAACTGGCTGTGATAGTGGCAAAATACTGGTTTAATTTAAGCCTCATGGACCTTCTCAGATATTATCAACTGTCCACACCATGGACAGCAAGAAGATAGAATTGGCCAAGTTAAGGACATTATGCACATCACCATCATGAATGGCAAGGCTTTAATACTAAATGCAAAACACATAAAAAACTTAGACAAGACTGAAAGGATGACAGATGTCAAACTACATTAACGTGTAAACCTAAAAAGCTACTTATACAAGCAGTCTCTTTTCCCCAAGCAAATCATAACGGACCCGTTTTAGACTTTCAGAGACTTTCTGTGTTGCATGTAACAGCCTTTATACTGATGTCTGTGCAAAGGCCTCGGGAATGAAAAGAGTAAAAATGTTCGATAATGTTATAAAATGATCAAAAGGTTAGATGCTTGCATCTGAATGGTGAGGAACATGAATTAGAATTAGTGATCGTCAACAAACATGCAGCACTCTGGACAACCAACATACAGTATAGTTCACTTAATCAGGACACATGCAACTGACTCTGAACAACATAAACATTTCATCCAAATCTGATCGAGAGCCAGGCTTTTCCTTTAGAAAGCCGACAGTGATTGTTTTCAACCTGCAGGAGACTAATGTGGAGTTTTGTATCAGTGAGACATCAGACTGTTTGAGAGGCGCCAGCCTGGCAGCGTGCTGCGCTCAAAGCTCAGAGGATGAGACGACGAGCCGTGCATGGTGCTCAGGTGTACAGTCTTTGTTTAATGTTCAATCTTTTTGGTTATATCTTCTGACACCTACTGACATAAGGTAGGTAAACTCCATCAGTTGCATTTTAGTCAAGTCTCTTGATTGAGACTTTTTTATCCTGTATCTCTGCATCATAGTAATGTGTCTTCTTATTTCCCCTTAGCTTTTGCTTCAGTATGTTTTTTTCTTTTTTCTTCAGAAACTTTACTGCCTAAGAAAGATATTTGTTTAGTTTCAGGGACCAAACTAACAGAAAAAAACTGCAAACAAGCAGACAGTAATAACCAAATGACTTAACCTTTGCACATACAGTAAGTTCTTCCGAGCAGCTTTGAAATGTCAAAGATATACAAGGGCCTTATTCAAACATCCATTTGTACATTTGGGTAGGCAGACATTCCGGAGTTTCCCCAACTAGCCTGATGTCACACACCCTGCTCGTCCTCTGAAGACCTTCATGTCTACAGTTCATATATTCCATAATAATAAAGCTCAAAAGAGCAACTCTACTATATAGTTTATGGAAGAGTTTGCTGGTGAACCTGTAGCACCAGGAAAAACCCATAACAGAAAATTTCAAAAGAAATGTGTGCCAAGGACCAGTCATATTCTAAATGGAGAACAATGAGATCATCCGAGAATCAGTCGAATGAGAACTGCTCTTTCAGTACTGGCTTTAAATCAGGATGATCTCATAACAGAGCTGCTCAAAGGCAAGTTTATCTTTGAAAACTAACGACAATGTCAGTAGAATCAAATTGGGGATTTTATGACAACACTTTCACACTGCCAGAGTAATCTGTACCTGACACAGTCAAAGTTGATGCCAACACATTAACCGTCAAAAGGAGTAGAACAGCATAACCAAAGACATCCACAGCATACCTTGATTGTTTTTGTTCCTTTCTGCTCCTCTCTTGCAAGGTTTGGAGCCAAGATGATCGTTTGATAGGACAGCATCTCTTCAGTGAAACATGACTTCCACCATGTGGCCAAAAGAGGCACTTACAGTCTTGTTTCTATTTTTTTTTTCTATTATGTACTGGAAATGGGTGTATCTGGTAACAAAAAAGACTCCTTGGTGTGCACATGCACATAAGGAAAGATCACTCAACGCGACGAAAGGAAACTTAAGTTTGTTTTTATTTCATGTTAAATAATTAAACATGAATATTGTTACTGATCTATTCTTTCCTTACTATTCTTTCCCACGTCTTTCCCTTACTGAAACCCTATCATAATCTCCTGTTCAAGTTCATATAAAAAATACAAACTGTACATGGACAAGTCTTCATGGCTGGCTATTTGAATTTTTATAATGAATTCTGCAATCTTTTAAAAACACTGACGGATAAAACTATCAAGGCACAAATTTAACAGATTTGTCTTGCAAATTTAGTGAATAAAGTAGATTAAAAAAAATAAATATATACAAGCGAGCATTTCAATCAACATGTTTTAGCAGTTCTGTACATCTCAACTCTTCTCTGAAACATAGTGGATCTGATATGATCCTGAACTTCAGTCCTTCTGATAACTACAGGAGAGATTAAAGTAATTTAAAGTCATTTCTGTAGCTTATTGTAAGTGCTTACAGCTGGGCTTCTTTGATGACAGAAGGTGGATCCGTGCTTTCACTGGTGCAGTCAGAGGGTCCCTATCAATCAAAAGAGGCAGGTTAGTTTAATGGTTAAATATACCCTGTACACTAACTGCACACATATATTACACACGTTTCATGTTCCACTCCCACCACAGAATGAAGAAAATTGAAGTAAACACTGAATAGCACGCAAAAGTATGTTTTCCTTTCCAAGTAAAAAAATTGAAAATGTTTGAAAAAGCACCTCTGTTTAAAAGGTAAGAAATAAAACAACTAATATTTACTTGATGCTTCCTCGAGTTTAAGAGAATAGTTAAGAAATGCCTATCCCAGCGGATAGAGTAACACACAAGCTCCCCTAAATATGTTCCTGCGAGGCACCATGAGCGTCTTTGAATGAACCGTACAACATCCTGGTCTACCAGATGACTCCTTGTCTGCAGAAGCTTAGCACAGAAAGAATTTTCCTAAATGATGATGGTGTTAACCTTCAAAATCCCAGTTTCTTAGCAAGAAAAATGGTGTAACTATAATCCAGCCAAGTATGTTGCCTGAACTGATTCCAACAAAACACTTCTGGGATTTACCAAACTAAAGGGAGAGGAACACAACCACTGTAGCAGTGAATGAAGAAATAAATTCCTAGAGCCATGTCAAGACACCTCTAAAGGCATTTGTGTGCCATTTATATGAAGTGTTGAAAGAAAGTTATTTGGATCTCGGCAGCAACCGCTGTGCTGAAGGACGTTTCTGCACACACTGGATTTTAGAAGAAATAATGTGAAAATGAAATGTCATGCTGTAATAAATCCATTGAAAATCAAAGTAGTCTGATTTTATCATGAGGACGGTTGCCAAAAGCAGTCGGAAGAGCGCTGATGGATTCATTATAGTTTCCTTAATGTATTACAGACCGAATCGGTGGGAAGAATTTCCGTCTACATAGACACATACGCACAAAATATCCATAACAGGAGGACATATATATTGTGAGGATGAATGACTAAAAGTGTTTGAAAAAGGGTCAAGATGCAATAAGAGATTTATGAAAATGTGTAGATGACCCCTTACACCGCAAAAACAAAAAGAACAAAGAAAAGTTTTAATCATGAGCAAATATGTCAAGGGATGTGCCACTTAATCTTATTCCATTAACTAAACCCATCAAATACTAGAGTTTTGATGGGTTTACATATTACTTCAGACCACATGAACACGTCATCATAGCTCAATGGGGAAGCCAGCGAAAACAGGGTTGAAAAAAATGATCATTTTTTATAGTGTTAGCAAATGAGTGCTGATCATGGAGAACACAGAAACAGAAGATTGTTGTGTGGTGATTGTGCTCCTACCTTTGTGATTCAAAGTGTTGAGCTAAGATTTGATGAGATTTTTTGGGGGAGACAGAAAAGTGTTATTGATCAGGCCTGAGAAGGAGAAGTCTGCTGCTGGGAGAGTAACGTCGTTGCTCCGTAGTCTTGTCCCAACATCTGCCTCTCCGCCTAAAACAACAGCTACTGATCACTTCTCATTCGGTGTTCATAGAGATGGGAGGCTCCAGTCTGGGATGAAGTTCAACACGATCTGCTCTGAGCCGACATCCCATAAGGGGAAAACAGAATTATACAGTACTGTGGGAAATTCTTGAGCCTGAAACTTTAATAATGTTGAGCTCCAGGGAAGATTCACTACTACATAAAACCTGTTACTGCTGATTTTCAGTGCAGTTCTTCTGTCATGATGCATGTTTCAGCATTTTCTCCCTGTTTCTTTGCCAAAGAACATCTTGACAGCCACCCTGGAGGAGAGCCTGATGTACCTCACATCTCTTTGCGGGATTTTTAACTCATGTTAAATAGGTCAGTTGTCTGTTCCGTACAGAAAAAAGTTCATCTCTTGAGTTTGGACACGCGATTCAGACACATACTTTGTGTTGGGTTCACTTAAAGAAATTACACTAGATTTGGCTTTCAGAGCTTCTCAGTAACTTCACCACAGATCTTAGAGACCCATCAAGAAAGAGTAAGAAATGCATTCGACAGAACCGGTTGAGAGCAGAGAAAGTAAGAAAAGCATTCATTTCTGAGCAGCAGCAGACAAAATATGATCCGGTTTATGCTCTGTTAAACATATATGTATCTTCATGTTATCTAAATCAAGCCTTTTTCTGATGATAAAGACAAAGACAAGCAGCACAAATTGGTTCACAGTCAAGATAATTATTTTGCATTACTGACAAAGACATGCAGGCTAACTGAGCATGAGAGCAAAAATAGACGCGCAGACACAATAAGAAGCCCAGGGTCAGCTATTTGGGGAGCAGAAGGACGTGGAAATGCAACTGCCGAACATAGAAAGTTATGCATTTCACAGAAGACACTTTGACTTTTCACAGTTAAGTATCATTCAGAAACCAGCCACACTCATTTTTATTATCAGATGATAGGCTAACACTTCTTTGTGTTATCTGCCATCTTATCTTTCTTACTGTGAAATGTCAAAGAGTCTTATGTGACAAAGCCTGCTTTGACCTTGAGCAACCACCCACATTCTTCCTTTTCTACCCATTTATTTCCAGCAGACAAACAATCATTGCATTGTCCAAAACTTACAGCAGCTTTGGCCAGTAGGTTCGCACTTTGTCTCCGTAGATCAGACTTGATTAAGCCTTCAGGAAAATAAAAACACAGATACAGGGACTGCATTATATTTCCTGAAAGTCGTAACTTATAAGGACAAGAAATCTAAACAAACACAGTGGTCCTTCCTAAATTTGTAGAGAGACTTGAATGTTTCTGTGGACGAAAATCCTTTTGTTGAACTAAAACCGTGCAGTAACAAAGAGTGTCCACTAGATGGCTCCTGAGAACAGTGAGTTATTGAAAATATCAGAAACTTTGTTGAACATCTCCAGGGTGTGTAGCAACAAATGCTAATTCAAAGGTAACTTTAGTGTGTGGCAAACTGACATCATGCACAATTACACCAACAGCTTGATGATTAACTTAATTTTTTGCCAGAAAAGAAAGTTTAACTACAAGTAGTAACTTTTAACAATATAAATGTATGGCACCCTCATGCACCTCATAACCCTTGTAGGAGAAAGTGTAATTGTGTATCACAAAGTGGGTGGCTTTGCACAAAAGTTTTCTAAATCTCTTGAAAATGGCAACAACAGATCTGCTCATATGACGAAATTCTGGGAACTTTTAAGGTCAGTGAGTCGGTCTGTTGACCTTTGGTAACAGAAAAATACCATTCAAGATTTGTGTTTCTGCATAGAGCGCAAAGTTTAGTGCCTCAGTGGCTAAAGCATTTTTCTGTGGTTATATTTTACTCTTAAACTTCTAAATGGACCTTGCAAAAACATTTTAGTGAATAAGTACTGAGTCTGTTTTTTACGGGTGAAAGCACACAGCTACTGTGTGTGTGAGTGTGTGAGTATGCGGCAGCTACACAGCTAAATAAGCCACCCCTGTCATAGTCCACCCCCAATAAGCTTTAAACGGTTATATTACCGATATAATTATTAATCAATTCATATACAGTTGAACTTAATTAAACAGGGACATATTTATTTTCAAATTCAGCCTCCTTTCACAGCATGTGGAGAGCCATTCTGAAGTTTAATTCCACAGCTGAGCACAGATTCCAATTCCATTCTCATGACCTCACTTCAGGGACCACGATAACCAGAATTCTCAAGGACAGTGTTGGTGCCAGTAATGTGGCTATGAACTGTTGTATTCTTTGGCGTCCTCTAATATTGCTTTTTGTTTTTCTTTACCACACACTGGTGAACTATGGTACTGATTGGGCTATGAGACTGAAGGCCTACTATATTGTGTCTTGGTTTTATGAAAAGTCACACATGCACATATGCCCAGCTGCTGCATGCTTAGAACCCAGAGATAATGGCAATCACACCGCCTGCTCCCTGTAGTAGAAGCTTAAGCAGCCCCTCCTTTAGTCTGACAAATCTCACATTACTTGAAAAGAGTCCAGTTATTTAGAAATGATTTTCTCGTTTACATGCAGGTGAAGCCAAACTATCTCAAACAGAAAGTTTAATCTGAAATGCATATCTTTTGAATCCTATGTCAAGCTATGTCTATGGCTGCTTGTAACCACAAGGAGGGACTCTGCTACTGGGGTGGATGGCCATGACAAATTATTCCCGTGTCCCTATCATTTGGCCCAAACCATCCATTTTGAAGTGATAAGATAATCAAATAGTTTGAGGTGATGTAGTAAAAGCGCACCTTTTTTCTTAATCTCAGACCTGCCGATTTGTTATTATCTTTAGCTAGTTTTGATGCTTGCACAAAAGAAGTAGTAAGCTTTTGTGTGACCCCGCTGTTTTTCAAATGTGTTCCTTCTGGGCTATGTAAATGTTAGCATAACATCTGCTGATGCTCGAGATGTATATTCACTTGTGTGTGTTGAGGACAAAGGATAAAACAAACCAAGCCTTCAACCCCGAAATAGCTCTCTCAAACATGTCCTCACATAGCAGCATTAGTAAGTCCATAACTGAAACTGTAGCAGATGATAGAACAGTTTACACATCTCTGAACAAGTGAATCGAAATCAACAGCTTGGGATGAGTCCACACTCATACCTGTCATTATTGTGCCGATTAGAAGAAAGACACACAAGAATATGTTTCCTGCCAGTGTGCCGAAGCTGTCAATGATCTTCCCCTGGGAGATGGTGAATATAATGCCAAACACCTGTGAGTGCAGAATATGCATGATTAAAGATGAAGCTGGTTCTTGGAATGTAAATATCCAGGTACGAAAGAGAGTTTATTTTTCAAGGGGACAAACATTAGGGATCTACATTTTCTGAAGAAGGAGGGCTGTACCTGTGCTGAACAATTGAGTAGCCCAGAGGAAGTTCCCTCTGACTCTGGGTATGTCAGTTCAACGGCAAATTCAAAGCCCAGTGGCAGGTAGCCGGTCATGAAGAACCTGGGGATGCACACACACGTAAGAAGACTCAACTTGATTTAACTAAACTCCACTGAGAAATATTTCACTCATAAGCGTCGTAGACAAACATTTGCACCGCCATGTTTCTGAAAGCAGACCAACAACATCAAACACGCTCCAAAAAGTGCAGAACGTTGTCCTTTCACTAAAGTGATGACAAGTGAAACTTATTCAGAGGTTTCAGACGCGGCAGCAGAGGCAGATCGCATCAGAATGAGTCGGTCCGTGCTGCCGATAGCTACACTTTGACTACAAGTACACATCAGACCTGACACTGCTGCATGTTGGTGGCTTTCTTTGGACAAACAGTTCTTCTTCATGTCAATCATTGTCTACATTAAAAAGAAAAGCTGCAGAAAAGTTTCCAAGTCAAATGAACACGGACAGAGCTGCATTATCACAGCTTTGTGTATCCTGAATTGAAATACCAGGATAGTCGGTAAAAAAGCAGCACTTGATCCTTCTCTCTATGTCAAGCTGCAAATATAATTGAATTGTAAATAGTCAATCCAGGTATGGCAACTCAGTTCAGAGCTTATAATTTCTTAATTTCTCTGTCATTTACTTAGAAAATGTTTTGGATTTTGTCAGTAAATTGTCATGCATAGTAGAATTAATTTCCATTTTATCTACATTGCTTATGGTTGATTTACATTTTCTCATGAGAGGTGCCCCTGAGACAATTGCAGCGAATCAAATTCTTGCTTAAATTTTAGTATTTCTTCCTCTTGTTTCCACTCGGTTATTGTTATGAGCAAACTGAGAATGCAGATAAGGAGATGAATGAAAGCTTTACTCAATGCTCAAAGAGAAAACTTCTATTATCAAATGAAAAATCAAATGGCACAATATAATCATAACTGTTGTTTTGCACTATAGTTTTTCTACCTTCGTACAAAGGGAACGTTCAAATGATATATACAAAGAAAAGATACAAAGAATTAAGGTAAGAATACCCAAGAGCTCCGGCAGTGATGAAAAGCACCCAGAGGTGTCCCAGACTGAGGGTAGCAGCAAAAACTATCATCCCCACCAGAGACATGAAATACACTGCCAGCGTGGTCTGCCTAGAAAAACACATGGGAAATATGTTAAACTGAGCTCGGTAGGCATCACTACCATCAAGATGTAGAACATGTTGGATTGTTTATATAAACTCCATTTGAATATCGCTGCAGAAAGTATTTGTCATTATTACAAATATGTAACATAAAAGGAACAGTTCAATAAAATTAGCAGTAGCATGGTCAGGGAGCTTATCGAGAAACTGATAACCTGATTGTAGTCTCTCTATATTTACAACATCTGAACATACGTCATGTGTACGATGGAATAACATCTGGATAAGCTCGAAGCTTTAGGGATAAAACAATGAGTGTGAAGACAGATTTTTAAAAGACCCCCTAAAATGTAACAGTTGAATTATCAATGTTTAAAAAACTTTTCAATACAGAAATTCATAACTTTTATTTAAAATTATACAGCAAAAATGTCCCCAAATGTGTCCACAACAGCAAATCTCTGATGGCAAAATTAAATGAAATGGGCCAGCAGAAGTAAAGCTGATATAAAACACTTTCAAACATGAGAAAGTGCGGCTTTTCATATGAAACAAACAAACCCTCATAACCCCAACTGCAGTTCAAAAGTCAGACTACGACAGCTGGGGGTGGCTCTAGGGTCAGCGCTCAGGCTGAGAGCTTAAGAGGACAAAGATGGAGAGGTCTGAGCTGTAACAGCGTGCACCACCTGGATAAACAGCTACAGGACAAACAGCTGAAAACTTAACAATGCACAGGATAAGGAGGCAAAACAAACAGAAAGAGAGGTGCTCATGTCTCAAAGACAAAACGTGCAAAACAAGCTGCAGCTATTCTTTGTATTATCAATTCATTCACTCAAAAGTTGCGATAAATATTTTGGTTGGCCCTTTCATGATGAAATATATTGAAAAAGCTATTGTGGAAAGCTACTTTTTCCTTCCTCAGTTCCACAAAAATGCAGCTCCCATAATGCCTCTGATAGAGTTTCCACTCCTGTAGCGACATAATGCGATTAAAGTTCATGATGGGGTTCAAGGAGGACACAAAGTTTTGTTAGATCATCCCAATGAATCTGCGGAACCACTTCTACATCATTCATGCTTTTTTACTTCTCACAGCAGACTTACTTGTAGGTTTTCGTTCTATCAAGCCAAACTCCACAGATAAGGGAGCCTACCATTCCTGCAATGACAATGGTGAGACCAATCCGCCCGGCATTCACCTCCTCTCCCTGAAAAAAGTCAGAGAACACAGAAAAAACCTTAAGCCCAAGGAAATAAATAATCTTATACTTGATTATTTCAAGCAGAACAGCACGAACTCAAACGTTAATAATTCAGCTTTGGTAGACATTATGAGATTAACTAAACACTGAGGGGCCGAAAATGGACCGGTGTATATTCTGTGCTGGTGCTTTGGAAACACATGTCAACCTGTTGGAGCATTTTGCTGCCACTTAAGGGCAATCCTATAAATATTTCAGCCACCAGGTCAGAACGGATTGTTCTGTGAAAACAGTACATGTATGGTCCACCTGCTGCTGTGGGAACTGACATCATTTGTAATCATCTGTCTAAACTCAATGTTCCGGGGTCAAGCTACCAATATGTGAAATTACGGTTAAAGCCGAGCACTTTGTGCTGCAGGAGGAGTTTCAGGTGAGAGCAGAACTCACGGGGTAATGCTCGATGATCATTCGGTTCAGCAGGGTACCGACAGCGTAGAAGCAGCCCACGTTCAGACCTGCCACAAGAGAAGAGCTATCACACAACACAAGACGGGCAAAAATCACACAACATTTTTATTTTCATTTAAAAGACAAGAAGCAGAAGAAGAAGAAGAAGAAACAATTTGAATTGCTAAGCAAAAATTAGGCGAATAAGCAATAAGAAAACAAATGAGCAAACGTTACATAGCAGGTCAGTTGAAGTGACAGGGACAGGTGGAGGCTGCCAGTAGAGTGTCCCGCAAGCCATTTGCAGCAATAAAGAAGCACAGGAGAGACCCACACTCAATGTCACCTCTGACACTCCTGACTCTTTTGTCCTGCGATTGTCACGTGAAATGAAATGAGGAAGCTCAAAGCAGAAATGCTCCCTTTATACGCTGGCAGCTGTGGACGGTTTACAGTCCAGCCCGAGCAGAAACTAGAAGCTCCAGCTTCTCCTGCTTTTTAGATCAGTTCATCTGCCAGTTCTCCGTTTATCAATGAATCGGTTTGAAATGTCAAAAGCAGCTCGCCTTCAAGTCTAAAATGACATCCAAACACTTCAGATTTTAGAATATCTACATACAAACCAAAAATATCATTTTCAATAATTGATAAAACATACCCTCCCCCACAGTCTCACTCAGTCGACACTTTTGTTAAACATTTTCAGACTATGAACAAACTTTGGACCTTTCCAGGATATGTGGATGTTTTTCTATGAATATTGCAGCACTTCGCCTGCTCATCTCTCATATAAAAGTTCTTGGGTGTATTTATATGAGACAGAAAAAGATTAAAAAAAGATAAGACAAACCGTGTCGCACAATGAAACCAATGTGTTTAAGCTTCCTCCTTTAAGTTTAACAGCCAGCTATATCCCTGTATAATCACTGAAAAATCACTGTATAAAAGTGTTGGACAGTAGACATTTTCAGTCAGACTGCGAGGTCTTTTAATACCTTAATAATAAACAAAGTATCTTTTGCTTTCAACCTGTTTCAAGAACCATATTACTCAAATTAAGCCCAGATTAAAAGCCCCAAACCCCTTGTTTAGAACAGATTTTCAAAGAGCTGGGTAGTGCAAGGTAACATCACCTTAAGGTAAAGATAGATAAGAATGTTCAGTGCTTTGCTGGGAAGCTATGACCAACCATAAGTGATGATGAGGAGGATGAAGGGCTTGTTGCGCAGAAGCCGTAGGATGGAGGCTGTGTAGGAGTACTGCTCTGGTGGGATGCTGCGAGCTGTGGCCTGGGCCTGAGTCGGAGGAATTTTAGGACGCTCCTGGAAAACTGCCACATAAAAAATAAAAAATAAACATTACAACCATGGAAAGATTCAACCATGATATGTGAGCACAGATATATGTTAAAAACAAGATCAAATTCATAACTATGTCCCCATCACTCATTATGAGGTCATCTATCAGCAGAAGTGTTGCTGATTACTGGAAATCCGACCGACTGGTTGTATGAATTATGTGAACATTGAATTATGTTCAGAAATATATTGTTGTTCAGAAATTCCAAGCTGATGAAGAGGAAAAAAACGTATCAATGTTTAAGTTTCAGGCTATTCTCGAGAAAACAAGGTTACGAGTTTTCCCTCCAAAACATCTAGGGAACCCAAATAATCTTGTATAGACACAGTCGGGCTCAGCTGGACAGGCCCAAACACACACAGAGCACGAGAGGACTCCACACAGTTAATCACCCTTTTAATCGCCCCGGTGAGCGTCAGCTAGTACTTTGCTTTTGAGGACTGTCTGCATGTGACCTATGTCAGTCCTTCTTTCTCCAAGTTGGCAGCCCTCTGACCTCATGGGGGAACACAGATGTTTTTCTTTGTGATTCTTTGAGCTGAGCCAGCCCAGCAAATCTGACTGTCTGTATACATGGGCTAGAACTTACTGGCCTTCTTCCTGACCCGGGTGCTGACACATGTGGAGGCGCACCAACTGATTCTATTACCTAATCCGACCTGTCTTTCACTGAATGTGTCTTCACCGTTCTAAGTGGGAGAGCAAGTGCTATTTTTCTGTAACACCCTGGTGGTTTCTCCCATAAGGGCGACTGGAACCACTCAAATATCACAGCAACAGACTGTCTCTGAGGTTAACTCTGTCTTTTAACCAAGTGTTGCCACCAAACTTGTTCTCTCACCTTTTCTCCACACAGTTTATGCAAATCTTTGAATTCTGCTAAGGTCTGCCCTGCTGACTCACGGGCCTGCTGCAGGGCAACAGATGGCCCTGCCAGCAGGACAACCCTCACACATGGCATCTTGCATGCATGCGTGAGAGTGTGTGTGCTGTGTGTATGAGTATATATGTGTCATATCATAAAACTACTGCAGCAGTTGGTGTGGACTCTCTCACTCAACACCATCCATCACACTTTATGACAGTAGAATCTGCATGGAGAGAAAGGAGTCACACCATTGCAGGTCTCTGTACCGCTTAAAAAAACAAAGAGGAGGTACATCTAAGTCAAAAGTAAGTTAACCTTAGATGTACTTCATCTTTCTTTAAGCATAATATTAATATGATTAGCTTCACTTAGTCTCCAGGCAAACTGATTTTTTTATTTATTTTTACTGCTTTGACATAAAAAAGATCAATTTTGAGAATCTCTCTATGGTATTAACATGACCACACATGGTTTTATTTTGTGTTAGGAAATAAAATAAAATAAAAGCAAAAGGCCTTTGTTTGTGAGAGCTTGCAAAATGTCTATGAGCAAACTCTCAAATCCTCAAAAAGCTCCAGCATATGTTTGCTATCAGGTCCATTCTGAGGGCTAGAATAAGCTCTTTCTCTCAGGATCTTCTTCACCATTCCATGCATCACATTCTACATACATTACATAAATCATCTACTAAAGCTTCACCGTATGATCTAAGCAACCAACCCCCCTCCACAGCAGGTCCATCTGAACTTGGATTGGATCTATTCCTTCTCCCACCAGTGAAAATCCGCCCATGCCACTGCCGACATGACTCATCTGCCCCTGTGCTCCACAGTTGGGGAGCTGTTCTTTGTGAAGCATTAGTTTTTTCAGACATATTTTTTTCTCCTCCTCACCAAAATGTTCTGTTTAGTTTGCCTGTTTAGATGTGCTTTTGCAACCTTCTGAAGCTGAATTTTGTGGTGGGGTTGCAGAAAAGGCTTCCTCACGCTGATGGCACCTCAGGGATGGTCAGTGTGAGCCATCACTCCACAGTATGGAAAACATTCCTCACGGTTCTTTACAGTCTGCTAGGACAGGGACTGCCAGGGCCATCGACACCTCGACTGGATCTCTACGGCTATCGACTACATGAGCAAATCGCTACATGGAGGGACTTTTCTCCTCCTTTAAGATAATCGCTGCTCTAATTTCCATAGCGGTCAGTGGCTGCATAGATGAAAAAAGACAGTTTTTATGTAAACTTTAATCTGTATTTCCACAACAGCCTGTTCAGCATATTTGTGGTATGTTGAGTCTTTTCACCTCAGAGTGAAATTGGATACTTTATGTTAAAAAAAACAAAAACTGGTAACAGCCTCAGCCAATCACTGGTAGGGGAGGGTTGTAATGCCGAAGTCAAGCTACAATCAAAGCGCACGTGGCTCACTGTCCAGCTTATCACATGAGCACGAACAAAACTGGGAGAGGTCTGAATTCCAGAGTAATTTCTTTAAACAAGAGGCTGTAGTCACAACGCTAACTCGCTCTGACAATATGGACAGTGTAAATGTTGTGCATGGTACTACGGGGAAATGGCTTCACAAGCATCCTTTTGTGTCCTGGAATGCATAGAGCTCCAAGCCATCCTCTCCTCAGACATGACAACAGCTTTTTCATCCGACTTGCTCCTCTGGTCAGTCAGATTCACGCACAGAAAACTCACTGTCACTCCACAGTTCTCACACATTTATTTTATGGAGCCGACTTCTTCCAAAACGACACTGAATGCGAGTCCAGCTTAATGTTCTGTCAAGTCCCTCCCCCACAAGGCCCTGAGTCCTTTTGAAGCCAAAGGGTTTCTAATGCTGATGTCTCAGTAACCAACAGCGGTGTGTCAAATGAATGCTTACTCCAGCACTGGAAAGCCCTCCCCTACATTCTAACTCAGACATTTGTCACCACAGAACCTGTTGTGCGCCAGTGCTTTTTTGTGTTGCTCCCTGGTGGAGACTCAAAGGCAGTCAGTGTTTCTAATACACTGAACAGAGTGCCTAAATGAAACCACCACTCTGCACATTTACTGAATAAGGATTTCAAGTCAACACCAGTGGAAAAGGGCCCACACAAAAAAAAACCCAAAAGAGGAAGGACTGCAGCCATGACGTCACTGACTCCAACGCTTCATTCACAACTCGTGTCTTTGTCCTCCCTCTAAAACTCTGCTGCAGCTTAGTTTGTAAAAACGGGTTTGGGCGGACAGGGTGGATTCTGACCATAATTCTGGCAGTGGATGTGAGAAAGAGGCAGAGACTGGGTGGGGATAGGAGCCGGAGGGCAAACCGTGGCTGGTGTTTTTTCTGTAAGTTTGGGGAGTTTCAAACATGTGAAAAACAGTCGTTGCACCACCATGTCGTTGTTGGTCGGGATCTGGGGTTGATGCTTAACCGTGGCATTTTTTTGGGCACAGATTGTTGTGGTGACTTAAAATGAGTGTCGTGAAGAGATGAGACCAATTCGCTATGACGAACAATCAGTGGGCATAGCCTGAGATGGGGATGTGATCTGGAGGGGGCGTAAACTGGCACCTTGTAGGCTGAAACTGAAGACTGTTGGTGTTCCAAGCCAACTGTTATCTTTTCCCACCCTATTACAGAGTCATTTTGTGCCTAAACCAGAGTTAGGGAGAACAAAAGAGAAAAACAACAATAGCAGGCACATTTAGGCCAATAAAAAAAACTACTTTGTCCACATGAGATTAAAGTGTCTTGGAAAAAACCTTCATCCACTCATCCCTCATCATCAGAGAAGTGAGTGAGAATAATCAGGAGACTTTGATAAAAACAACTATACCTGGTTTTTACCTGTTTTTTAGAACCACTGTGAAAAGAAGATAAAAATCCCATAGAAATGTTTTTTCCAAATTTGAGAATAAGATCTTTTAAAGATCCATGACCAGCATGATTTCAATGGCAGTTATTAATGAATTAACTCAAGCAAAGATAACCCTGGAAGTGTGACTTGAACTGACTAAACCTGAAGTGATTTTTTCTTACCAAACACGACTAGGATGAAGAGAAACGTTGCCACCCCTGCTGTGATGTAGAACATGATACTGATGTGGTGAGCCAGCTCATCCATGTTGTCCACATTAGGCACCAGGATAGGGGGCACCAGGAAGCCAATGGCAATACCTAGCTGGATGGAAATATACACAGACAGCACAAAATAAAGACTAAATAGGTCAAAAGTAAACACAAGTCCCACATTATTGTGATGTCACATAAATCAGTTATGGAAAATGCAATTATGTACTGGTCAACACATTATATGTCTGGAAATCTGAAAGATTTGCTAAAATACAAAACAGAATAAAACTACAAAATTAAGGAGGATTCTTTACTTTTTCTGAACTTTAAAACAGACAAAGCACAATGAAAAGGCTCCAGCAAAGAGCTGACAGAGTTTTCTCAGGACTCTGACACCAACATGCTAAGAGTCCTGTTCGACTCTGGCATCCACTCCAGCTCTACGGACGTCTGAGGCACAGCCTGACTTTGCAAACCCTGCAGAAGCCTAAAGAGAAAGGAATTGGAATTGTCATTCTTGATTGGTTATTGAAGACAAACCTGGTTTCCCAAAACTCCTATGGAACAAGCTGTGGAAACCTCTTTCTCTCCAAACCAAACCGACGCAAGGTAAGAAGGAATACCAAGGACAAAGACTGTGGCCACAGAGCACACAAACTGACCAAAGAAGGTCACTGTGAACATATCAGGCCTGGCACTGCCAATTTTGATCCAAGCACCAATGCAGTTAAAGGCCGACCCGACGAGGACTACATCTCGGATGCCCCTATTGTCCAGGAGCCAGAGGACGGGCAGGATGAGCGGAATGTAAGTCAGCAGGTAGATCATGGACAGCCAGTCAATAGCCAGAGAGTCGATGTTGTAGAAGCGCATGAATATGTTACTTATGATGCCGTACTGGAGCCACATGAAGGCGTTGCTGGCTGAGACAGCGCTGAAGAGAAACAGCATGATCCAGCGGCGGTGGTAAAGCTTGGTTTCAGTCTTTGAGGCTAGTTCTACCTGGTCACCTAAGGCATCAGTGTCTAACCGGGACCCTGTGGAGAGGCTTCTGCCGAAAGGCCCCGGACTCCACTGCAGAGAGGCGAAGCCTGGGCTCAGATTCTTTGCAGCCTTGAAGCGCGGCCATTCTTCACCTCTAAAATCAGAATTTGCACGGTTTCCTTTCAAAGAATTGCTTTGTGGCATTTCAACCGTCCTAAAGAGGGTCCCCGACCGGAGCGAGAAGGCCAGAGGGTTTAAGATTCCGGAGAATGAGTCCGAACGGCCTGCTGTCCCGACTGCTGAGTGGCAGACAGATGCAAAAGAGAGAGAGAGAGAGAGAGAGAGAGAAAGCACTGCTGGAGTCCCCAATCCTGTCCCTACTGACTGAGCCTTAACAGCACATGTTCTCATATCCATTATCCTCGTTCCTATCATGTGACAATGATTTCAGGAATCCTCAAATTCTGTTACAAACCACTCCTGCCAACACACATTTACAGAACTACTTCAGCTAAATGCACAAATAAGATTAAAGAAGACAGCTGGAAAAAGTTTAACTTTAATTACATCTCTTGTGCAAGCTAACTGATCTGAATGTAAGAAAGCTGCTGGAGGAAGTTAATATTTCCAGTTTTTTGTTATTGTTCACCATGTTGTGTGAAGGATAACCGTCCTGTGTGTACGCTCTCAGATGTGGGGCTCAAACTTCTCTTTTCGCCGTGCAGTAGGAGCGCGCCACACCGGATCGGAGTCTGTAGCTGCCATGTCAAGAAGATTTTCTCAAGTTCGTAAGCCTTCAGAGTCACGGGGACTGCAGTCTCAAAGCTGTGAGTCCATTACAGTCTAACACTCCCTGTTCAAATCTGCAAAAAGACGGACACAGCAGCTCCTGCACTACGTGATGAGTTTTCCGTGACATTTGGAACTGAGTTGACATAGCGTGACTCAAGCGTTGTTTGTTCAGAAACTTGTAGCAGTGGTGCCTGTGCGCGTATTCTAACAAAGGCACCGCTAATCTCTGCACAGTTGTCTTCTTGGCTAGTTGTTCATGTGAATTTCAAAATGGTCTGCTGTGAGAGTCCATTTTCAGAAAAGAGTAAACCGTTAGTAATCACGGTTAGTTTATGAGCAGAATTCGGGATTTTGCTGTGCAGAGGGCCATCATCTTAAATCCATGGACAGATACGTAGACAGACAAGTCGTTTTGTGGCCCCATAGCATGCAACAGGGCAGCCATAAAGCACAATATAACAGTAGTAAATAGAATAAAAAAATGAACAGTAAGAATACATAATGTGAGAAGAAATTATGATTAATACAAATTTAACTCTGTCCACAGATGGCCCAAGAATGAACTGTTTTTATAAGGAAGGCAGGGCAAGGAAATTGACACATCCTGCAGCCACATCTGTAAATGAACCAAACCAAACAGCAACAGATAAGGAGTGGAGTAATGACTTCAACTGTTTCATGGGGTGAGCTGTTTTATAGGGCTTATCTTATCTTTTCTTATCATGTTCATTTTCTCCATCATGCCACGCTGGCTAAATTCAATCTGAAGTCTATGATGACGGTAAATAACTTCATGTTTATATGCATCTTAAGGAGACTAAAAAAGGATACAGAAGAGCATATGTGCCAAACTGTAATAATGAAAAGCATGTGGAGCAGCAGGCGCATCCCATGTGCCCAAAACACACACATTTCTTTTGTTCACCTCAACTATTTTCCTTACAGATGTCTTTATGTATTCTATACCCTTGAGAATCCATGTGTCATTATGGTTGTAGTATAAATCTGAGAACTATTATCAGGGAATGATGATGAGTTTTTTTATTCACTCTGCATTACAATCTTTGCCACAAATTAAGGTGCAAACACGACTGTTACTACAATTGCAAGTATGTGTTTCTTCTTGCATATTGGTTTAATTTTTATTTCTGCTGTGGGTTCTCCCACATCTCCTGGGGGGGGGGGGGGGGGGGGGGGGGGGGGGGGGGTCCTTGGACAGATTTAGCGTAATTACGCAGACGTGCCAACGTGAGGGGGACTGTGATTATTGACCCACGGAGCTAAATGCCACTTCAGAAAACCAACTGAAGGCTTCCTATGTGCAGATTATTAATAACCCACGTTCTCATGAACCCAACGTGTGCTCATTACCTGATTCCCGAACACTCCTATGGAGCAGGCGGTGGACACCTCCCCGGAGCCGAACCACACCGAGGCGGTTCTGGACGGCATCCCGAGGATGAAGACCTGCGCGAACGAGCAGCAGAGCTGGCCCAGGAAGGTGACGGGGAACAGGTCCGGCCGGACGCTGGCCACTTTGATCCACGTCCCCGCGCAGTTGAGCGCCGTGCCCGCGAGCGCGATGACCCGCAGCCCCTTCTTGTCCAGCAGCCAGGTGACCGGGAAGATGAAGGGGATGTAGGACAGCATGTAGATCATGGACATCCAGTCTATGGTGAAGGCGCTCACGCCGTAGAACTTCATGAAGATGTTGCCGATGATGCCGTACTGGATCCACTGGAAGGAGTTGCAGAGGGAGTAGGAGCTGAACAGCAGGACGATCATCCAGCGGCGCTTGTACAGCCGGGTGTCCGGCAGCGGGTCCCGGCCCTCCGCGGCCCCCCCCTCCGCTTCCACATGCTTCTCCAAGTTCGCTTTACCCGCCGCCTCCTCCGCGTCTTCCGCTGGCCTCGCAGTCATGTTGATAAAGTCTTCCCGGGGTGGCCGCTCATAGAGGACTGGCTCCCCCCTCCCCCTGTCACCGTAAAGTACGCTGGAAGTTGCTGAGAGGCGCTCTTTTTCATAGATGGTCGTTCGGCTCTTCCCGGTGCGCACAGCTACGGCTCCATGCCTTCCGCAGACGAGGAGGCGAGATATTAAAGTTAATTCAAGGCTTCAGACTGTCGATCTGAGGCACTCAGGAAAGTTTTTTTTTTTTTTTTTTAAATATACACGCTCCAGTGAGAACAGATCTCTCGCCTCCATTTACTTCCCGGAGTTCCGCATTTTTTAAAAGTCTGAAAGTCGCTTGAGGGATTGGTGAGTCACAGAATTTACAACATCGGACGATCTCGTGAATTACCACAGTCACTGAAGGTCGGGGATCTGAGTGATAACACGTGCAGGGGGAGCCCACAGTGACCCTCCACCCGGACCTGAAAGCGCCGCTCTGAGTCGTGCAGAAGTGGGTTAAACCCGGTCACATGGGCGGAGTTTCCTCCAGAGTCCACTGTAGGACAGAACAAGTCTGGAACGTCACACGGATGGCACACATACACCCGGAAACGCGGACAAGTGTTTGAGATTTCCATTTGTTGTTTGTGAAAAGACAATAAATATACCAAATATAGCCTATTTATTAGGCGTACTTCCTGCTTTAAACATTGCAGATAGCAGGCCTTTTTTATTGAGATCACAATAATTGAAATACAAGCAAGACGCGACTTAACAGTCCCATTTATGTTCAAGGTTCAGATAAACTCATATCCACAGGGAGTAAACTGTAAATGATTACTTTGCTTTATGATATAAGCTACTGTAACTTCATCTCTCGTACTGGTAAACAGTGCCATCTATGGGGACTCCCTCAGCAGAGAAACAAACATCTGTCACACCTCCTTGTTATCAGCAGATTTCACACTCCCTTTTCGCCTGACATAAAAACAGGACAGCAGAAACATCACTGCCCGGGAGGTCGCAGATGGTTATCCAAAAGGTATACATTTAATAAATACATACAGACGAGACCTGATGAATGCCCATTTGTCAGTCTTTTTCTCTTCGTCTTCTTCGTTGTGCCTTCCTATGATCATGACATTACATTCTCTTTGTCCACAATCAAGTCTGTCAAAAGCTCCTGTGCCCTATCCAACGACATTTGCACCCTTAAACACATGAAAAACACAAGGAACACAAAACATGTCAGGGCGATAAAAGCTCTGTATAGTCTGCTTAGAATAAGCAATTTACATTAAAAAAAAAAGTTGCCTGAGTCACCTGGACATACACATGGTCGATAACTTTTTTCAATGTAAACATGGACTCAATGGATTCTACTCATCGATTCGTTTAAGGTCACAGAACGATTCACAATCAGTAAAGCAAAAAAAAAGGGATGAGCAGAGGCAAAATAAATAGTTTTGAGCACTGCTTGTAAAAGTGTGGACTCCATAACCTCCTTGTTTGACAGATGTGTTGGTCTGCCGTGTCGATCCTGAATCGGGTGTTAACAACTAAAGACACATCTCCCAGGCAGTTCTCCAGTGAGATCGGTCATGTGGTCGGCAGCATATCCTCAGTAGTCGGGCGGGTCAGTGCTGGTAGTGTGGTACGGAGATGTGCTGGTGGTGATAGCTGCTGTGGTGGGGGGAGTAGAGGAGCTCGGGGCTCTGGGCGGCCAGGCCGGTGCACAGAGGCTCGTGGCTGCTCAGCACCGAGGTCAGGTACTTAGCCTCTTCTGTCAGCTGCTTCACCTCCTTCCTCAGGGCGGCGTTCTCTTTCTCCAGGTTCTCGCTCTCCTGGAAACAAAGACGCAGCAGAGGGGTGTCAGAGCCGGGCTGCCGTCGATCAGGCCAGAAAACGTGGGTTTGTTGTGTGTTCAAGAAGAGCGAGAAAATAAAAAAAAGGCCAACCCAATGAGCATGTTCTTGTGTTTAACAACTCTATCCCTTTGCTTGCCTTTATGCCATCCAGTTTTACTGAGAACAAGATTGATCTTGCATTTATTGTTCCCGGTTTTTGTTTCATGACATTTAGCAGCATTTAGCAACACATCTCTTAGTGGTTCATTTCTACTTTGTACATTGCAGTTCTAGTTAGGTGGAAATTTTCATTTTTGCCCTATTTTAATTCCAACTTGGTTTGTTGATAAGAAAAAAGACACGTGTCTCGTTTATTTTTTGTGGGTGTTTTTGTAGGAAGTTTAAATAAATATATAACAGCATATTCTTATTCAAGACAGAATACATTACTGACAATTTTTTCCTGTCTTTGTTGCGACCTCCTTAAATGACACATCAGGAGCACTTTTAGAAGTATTAAGGATCCAACTGTCAGTGATCATCTTACTACCGGAGAAATCAGCTGGTCATTTCTCAATAAGCATTAGATTTTTCCTGGAAGTTAACGATTCAGAAAATAGAGAAGTGACATTGCATGTGTTAGAAATGATCACAAAAAAAACTTTGCCCGGTCAGCCTTCATCTTGACTAACTGAATAATCATTCCTGTACTTTACACGTAAATAAACTTGAAAATACAAAGGCTGAGGAAAGCAAAAAAAACAAAATACCAATATTGCATAATGTGAGCAGCTGTGACTATTCTTTTTACTTTGGAGAGCTCCAGTTCATCTTTAGGTCGCAGTGAATATGTGAATTTCATCATAATATCTGCTTTTAGGCCTTACAGAATACAACCTAAACATTTAAACATTTAAACATAAATGGATAATAAAAATACTTTGGGTCATAGTAAGGTTGTGGTTTCACTCACAGTTAACTACAAGGAGTCAATTATTATTGTCCATATCAAACAAGTTTCTGCTAAACTATCTGTCCATTCATTCCATCTGTTCTCTGTACCTGCCTAAACCAACCCAGGAAACCACCACTGTAGGCACCAAGTGCAGAAAAGCCAACTGCAAAGCCAACACAGAGACACACTATAATGCCTTTAACTCAATGGTCTTTCAGAGTAGGCCCGAAAATATCATATAAAAAAATTCTCAACCATGTAGTCAAATGTGTTGAAACAAAGGGCTGTAATGCTATTATTTCGGGTTACAAGCGGTCAGCACGTCAGTAGAAAAACTCTCTCTTTCAGTGCTGAATGAAGACGTTGCTTTGCCATACGGCAAGATCGCGAATAAAAAGTGTTTGAAGCTTATTTGCAGCTTTCTGCAACAGCACCAGTGTGTTCATTCCAATAACATCACTGTTACAATTTCCAAAACAAGGTGTCTCTCCTCTCTTTCATTAACCTAAAGGTGTTTCAACTAGTGCAAAGTGTGTTTCAGCTCATATTAGGCTCTTTTTTGGGGGGTTTTGTGTGGGAAAAGTGGAGCTAAAATCTTCCACTTGGTTTTTGAAAAAGGTCATCTCACCATGACCAAAAGTTGCAAGGTCTTACTGTCACACAACCTTTGGGCAAACCCCTATGCATGCGTCACTTAGCCAAATACAGCCCACTGCTATCACCTCTTTACAAGAAGTGACAGCCTTTTTCTTCCCTCCTGCCCACGGTGTACAACATTCAAGCTCATTTATTCAGAAGAAAATACTACTGAAGAAACAGGAAATAAGCCACCGTGTCACAGCGAGGGAAAATTCACCTTCCTGTTTATCTAGTGAGACGATGAAAGCAAAACCACAGAGCATGTTCTGTGGTCCCCTGCTGTTCTTTGTCGGGGCGACAGGGTTTTCGAGAGGTTGAAAATATACATCATTTTTCGCTGGAAAGATTCTCATGCATTCATATCTGTCACGCAGAATCTACTACAGCCTACGACGTGGCTGCTCTGAAGGTCAAAATCTCTTCAATTTATCTGATAAAGTTCAGAGAAATGCCTAAATCTTTTCTCGAGCAAATGTGAGCTGTACCTGCTAACTTAACTCATCTTTGTTTGAAAACATTTATCTGTACAGGCTTGGTAAGAAACATTCTAACCGCAACTGAAATCACAAAAATGCCAACCCTCACATAAATATCAGACCCAGTATCAAATTAACTGAGAAATGAATTAATAGAAAGGGCCATACACACGCTCTGGTCATCACGCCCAGCAGCGTCGCTGTCATCTGAGCTGGATTCTGCTCCAAAGGGGGAGCGAATGCCCACATGTGCTAATTTATTCCTTCATCTTCAGCAAACACACGGAGCAGCAGCCAAGTGTGCAGCCTGACAGAAGCCATGACACATCGCCACATGGTCAGGTAGCATTTAGTAAATATAGTACAAACCCATTCCCTCAGACTTAAAGTGATATATTAGCTCTTGGACAACATTGCAAAGAATGAATGCTGTGAATTCATGACCATATGTCATGGACTTTAGATGGAAATGGAACAGTTTACAGTCCTCATAGCTATCGACTGAGATGACAACTCTTAAACAGAACCCTTCTCTTAGTTTTAAGTTTGCAAGGACATGATGAAAATGCTCAACAGGCAATCTGGATGGTAGGAGTGCAGAGTAATGGCTCTTGTTTTCACTCACATTCTGAAATAGGCTAAGAGATGTGGCAGTTTTCACTCAGGAGGAGCTGGGTCACTTTCAACACTTAAGTGCGATGTTTGTGGCAACAAAAGGTGTCCTCACCAAGTGAAGGCTGTCAGCCTTCTGGGTTTGTCGCATCCTACTCTTCTGAGCAGCAATTCGGTTCTTCTCCCTCCGCATCACCTTCTTCACATCGTCTGAGGAGCCCTAGCATAAAGATCAGTGTGTAAGGTTGATGTGACAAAAACATGAGGTGATTCTGAAGGCCACATTCAGGCTGGTGGTACCAGAAAAGGACGGATTTCTAAGAAGCTGACTGTTCAGAAGTACAGGCCGATGATTTTTTTTGCGATAAAATGGAAACTATCTGTTTTTAATGGCAGTTTGGCTAAATATTGGCTTCAGCTTGCTTCTAATGTGAAGGGCTGGGCTGGGGAGTGGCTGAGTCATCGTTAGGTGTAGCGCACACCCTGTTTCATGTCCTGAACGTTTAATTTCTTGGTATCATAATAACTAATCTATTTTTTTTTTAACTGAGTCAGTTGAACAGCAAGCAGATACGTCCAGCAAGGAGATAAGTCAGATCCACCTGGCTAAATAAACAGTGAACGCCTTATATTTCTGACATCTGGTGTGTGCCCGGGTTCCAGTGAACTCTGGAGACCTACTCATGTGAAAGCGGTCATCTCGGAGGATGACCAGCAGCACATGATGTTTGTCCGTCGCAGCTCTAAAAACATTGGCAGTGTGAAGAATCGCAGAAACAAAGGATTTCCATTCCCTTTGGCAAGTGATACGTTTAGCAATTCACAAAACCCTACACTAGGAGGGAGTCCTGCCTGCAGCCCATGTGTGGAGACACTGAGAAACTGTGAACGGAGCCAGCGGAGGCAGCACTGGTGATGGGCTCCACTGCTGCCCTCAAAGTCTGCATAAACTAAGCATCCAGGGACAGATTTAAGTGGCCGTTGATACTTTGTTGTACTCCTCAATAACTCCTGATTCCACATTCCTTTAGTGACAATGCCACTCCCCCCCGAACTAAAGGTAGATTCTCATGAAAATAAACGAACACACTCTTACCTGTCTGCTTCCAGGTGATGGAGATTTGTAGCTTGTGTCATTGCTGTCAGAGCCCTGAGCCATAGCAAACCGCAGCGACTGAAACCCGGGGTCTTTGTCCACTTCTGCTTTGTGTTTTTGACTATGTATGCTGAAGTGTATGTGAGAGAGAAAGTACGTCGCAAAACGAGTGCAGAGAAGAACCTGGCTCACCGCTTAATGAGTAATGAGTTGCTTTCTTCCCTCTTTTCTTTCCTTTTTTGACACTCCTTCTCTTTCACCCTCTCGCCCATGCTCTCTCTCTCTCTCTCTCTCTCTCTCTCGGTCTCTCTCTCTCTTTCTCTCTCTTTCTCTCGCTCTCTCTCTCTTTCTCTCTCACACACACAACCACACACACATGCACACTGTGATACTAGCTGTCTGTCTGTCTGAGAGGCTGTATCTGATGTGGCTTCTGGTAACAATCTGGGTAAGTTACATTGGACTGGAAGTCACATGTCTGGTGGAAAGTTGAAGCACATAAGGTAATCATGTACACTCCAGAAAAATAACACAGTGAAACTTTGTTCACAATTTGACTATAGGATAGGAAATGTAACACCTCCCAATTTTTCAAATACCTACACCCTGTCACATATATATAAAAAACAGAACAAAACCAAAACCTTTTTCAGAAACAGTTAAACTGAAATTCAAAGATAGAATAAATGACAAAACTCAGGTTGCAGCAACACTTCTAAAGCATGCAATAGTGTGGCTAATGTGTAAAGGAGGCACCGTAGACATAACCTCTTCCCCTTTTTTTCTTAAAAAAAATCCGCCACATATCGTGCTGTGTTTCGACCTAATCCTCAAGAGACAGCTAATTCCACACCTCCACACTGATGACTGGTTTTTGAGTATCTACATGTTCAGGGTCATTTCCAGAAGTGTGCCATGCTGCTTGCCATAAACCAGCTGCAGATGAGTGAGCCAGAGCTTTTTGCATTGTGAAATGCTCAAGGGGCTCCCCAAAACCCCACTCGAAATTCCCTTTCTCTATTTCACAATAAATGAGCGTGTGTGAAAATATGGGGAGAAAAGTCCAGTTTGTGAAGGCTAACCAGGCTCTGAATGTACACACTGGCAGGGGGTGGGGGGGGGGGGGGACATGCTGGAAATGTATAACGCAGTCTGAAAACTACGAGTTTACTGCCAAAAAGGAATCTTGTTCACATCTGTACAAGTCCTGTAAGGGCTAAAGCCATTTGTGCCCTTTATTTGTAGGTCCTTTTCTTGTTTGCCCCCATCAAGAGAAAGCATTTGGTGGTGCAAGAACAAGATTTTCTTGTGCGAAAAAAAAGAAAAAGAATCAGGACTAAAACAGCTTTGCTTGGCAGAACAGTCCTCCCACACAAAAACATGTTCCACCATCACAGGAATTTTGAAGAGCTTGGGCAAGGGCAGACATTTCTAATTCTTGGCATTTAACGCTGTCCAACAGAGTTGAGGCTGTAAAAAAGAATAGAAAGGAGAAAAGCTGATTAGTTCGGTTATGCTGTAACCAGTAAAGGGCACTGTGGAGTAAATACAGAGCAGGTACAACACAACGTGTGGCCACTTTTTGAAGTTCTACAGAAATCAATAAAGGTTTTTCAGTTTCAAACAATGTACAGTTTCAAACTGTGTATCTGCTTTAAAACTATTTTTTTTATTTCCTTCTTATTTCAGCGCAAGAGACGGGTGGAGGTTTACTGACAGCAGCAAAGTTCAGACTTTACACAGCCTCTCGTACAACAGCCATCCTAAGTTGTGTTCTGCGAAAGTGACAGTGGTTTTAATAAACTTTAATGCCCACAGTTGTAAACAGCACTCCTTCTCTTTATGGGGCTTTTCTTTCTTGGAAAAACCTTTGTTTGCGGTCCTGCTTCCCTGGAAATGATAGTGGGAGGTTTTTCGTGAATCATTATTCAGAGGCTTTGAGTGCAAAATAACTGCTCATATTATACACTGAATATTCACTTCAAAATGGAGAACATTTATGAGTCATTGTACCAAATGTGTAAAGTCCAGTGTGTTGAAAAATCTCCCTAACCCTTACACCTCTTCTCACTTTGATTGGCCCAGCCTTGATCAAGTGCAGTTAAAAGCTATGGTGAGGAATATCATTGGCATGAAGTTATATAATTCAGACAGTTTGTTTAAATATTCAAAGTATCGCTTTAAAAAGTAGCTTGTTAAAAAGGGGGCTGCATGTTTTTAGGGTTTTCTGCTACCCCTCTAAAAGAATATTATTTGCAGTAGTAGTGGTATTGTCATATGTTCTCCAGTAGGAGGCACTGTGGTTCATCCAGTGCTTTTTTTATGAGAGCAAAAAGACAAAGAAGGGCCGATGAATTAACCATATCAATAAAAACTAAAATAAGAAAGTTGACTCTTGTTTGCTTTTGAAATGTGAGGTGCATTTGTTATATTTTGAACTGTTAATAAAAACCTTTTCTTAGTGATCTTTCAGATCCACTAAACCACTTGGTGTGATGTGTATTGGAGTATTACTCCAGTAGGAGGTGCCGTGAGGCAAGCTATCTGCTACTCTGTGAAGGCTTTTGAAAATATAAATATTAAGCTGTTGTGTGATGTACATATAATACAGAAATTAATGTAAGAAATTATGTGTAAGATCAGAGATTAGGAAAAAGACTGGGTCCCGCTGTATTACTCAGGCTGCACTACAGCGTCTATTCACAGGCGCGATCCCACTACTGAGCGGCACGGGGGCTTTGACCTGCTCCGTTTCCGACCTGGGCCGGTGCACCCCTCCTTAGACGACCTGGTAGTCCCGGGCTCCCCCAGGAGCACCATATCGATACCGAACTTAGTGCGGACACCCGATCGGCATAGTCCACTGCAGCTCAGATCTCCTGAGCTCAAACGGTCCGCCAGCCTCAGCCTCCCGGTAGCTTGGATTACAGGCGCGCGCCACCACGCCCGGCGAAAGACGAGGGTAGAAACAGGGAGTTTAAGTGCGAGTGACGTGACGTCACTGGTATGCGACGTGCGCCATCCGGCGGAGAAAATCAGAAGAGCAGCTGGTGAAACTCGATTGGGTCTAGTGTTGGGCTCGTGGTTAATTTAAAAAAATATGTTTCTGCAGTGTTATTGACATACCTCTGACACACAACTTACATAAACTGTCCAGTTTGGTTAGATATCCACCTAACTGGCTCAATGAAACTTGAGTGCTGTTGTTGAAGCATAGTCAGTTTCAACCAGAAAGAAAACTACGCAATTCATTAGTACCCTATTTATGCAGACCAAAAAAATACAATGTGGTCTGTTGGTGATGCTGATCATTCAATCCAATCCAAGTGTGGGAAAACATGTTGGAACTCTCTAACTTTGCAGTTCCTCCTATTTTTTTCTTTGTTGTTTTAATTGCTGAGTGAAATAGTCAGATCATAAAGAATTACCAGTTTTTTAAGCATCCTTGTTTTTGTTAAGATAATGTAAATCATACAATATTTATATAAACAAAGATATGGCAAGTTGTCCTTATTCATGCTTCCACATGGATTACACCTGAACTCATTAATATGTTGACAACAACAGCGAGGAACAGTCCTCACTGATGTGTACTGCACATATTCAGATAAACAAAACATTATTTGACTTTCACATTAAACCAAGAACAAGAGACAAATGATGACATGAGACAGATATAAATGTCAAGTTTCAGTCTTTAATATTCCGAGCACATCAGCAAAAACTCGACTTTTCCACTTACAAAATACTTTTCTTAGAAATAATTCCAAAACAACACATGAAAGAAAATTAAACAACAATTAAATCTACTGATGAAGCACCCCAAAAATAAGGGTTAAAAAGACTGGATCCTCCACAGTTTTCCACGTTGGCCATCGAGCTTCAGCTGGTCTCTGGATTTATCTAGCTGTGAGACAAAAATAATTTCATTAGCAATGGAAATAAAAAAAACAAAAGTAAATAAAGATTTTCACTATTTCTAAACAACAGCATATCAGCCTTAATGATGATTAATCGTTCTCTAATTTTGTATAAAACAATTACAGCCTACTTGACATAATTGAAGGACATGAAAATGAAAAGCTTTATTTTAGCATAAATTTTAATAAAGCCCTGCTTTTAATTAGCCAATCTGAATATTTGTGCTTTTGTAAAGATTCTACAAAGCACTTTTTATCATTCTATCTCTTAAAAGAAAACATAATTCTGAAGCTAAATTGTGCCATTTTTATTTGATAAACGACCAAATATTTACCTGCTCTGTGCTTTTGTCCACTTGAGGGCGTGTCTGGGAGGCACGGCTGTGGTGGGATGGTAGAAGGTACATCCGGCTCGTTTGCACTGCATTGCAAAGCGACAAGGCTGTGGATGAAAGTTGAAGTCAGGTTTGGCTTTGAAAGCAACAAATTCCTTGAGTTAACAATAGCTTCCGTGCCACATGATAACTGCGTTCACCTTTGGATGATAAAATGGACAGTCCATTTTCTTGCAATCTGGGAAAAATCGACACACGGAAGTAGTTTGTGCTGGTTGTGCTGCTGTGGACACACAAAGAAGAGGCAGATTTATCTTAGATGAAGCATTTTATGCTGGTGTTCTTGTTGCATTATAAGCTCTAAAAATCATTTTAAAGCCAAATTTTTCCGGTGCTAAGACCTCTAGCAGTATTTTGTGTATTATGCTCTTCAATAAGAGTTCTGTAGTGCAGCAGTCAGCCACATGTACAGGTTTTTTTATGGATTGTGATTGTATGCTGGCGTATGTTTAAAGGCGATGAGGTTACCTGGTCTGGGTGGAGGAGCAGCAGCGCTCCGGCGGCTGACATGGGTGAAGGGGCAGTCCGGCTTGGTACAGCGAGCATCGTATTTGCAATTAGGATGAACAAAGAGGCATTTATCCCCAAACTTGCAGCTGGGAAAAGTCCTTTGGAAAAAAACAAAACGTCTCATAAAACATGTCGCCGTGATTAGTACCAATTTTAACACCAGCACTTACTTGCACTGTGTGGTCGGGTGATGGTACAAACACTCATCTCCACTTTTGCACACCGGCCAGAACTTGCAGCGCTCCATAACTTTCTGTTTCTTTACAGGAAGGGCATCTCCATCTGCCATCTCAATGTCCATCCTGTCATCTGTTAAGAGTGAGCATGCAGAAGGAAAATGTTTTAAACTGTGATTGGGATAGGTTGAGTCTCTGGCTTAGAGCAGAACCCCTCCACTGAAGCCCTACCTCCAGATGATGCGACTGCTCCTTGGAGCCTTTGAAAGATGCTGAGTTTGGATTCTCTATGGAAATGGCCTTCTATATCCTTCGTGGGTGGTTTCACATCATCCAGCTCCATGTCTCCATCTCCAAAGTTGCCCATCGGACTTGGCACCCCATCTAATGTTACTATGAACTTTGGACTGGCAGAATCAGCCCCCTCTCTAATATTGTGAAACATAATTTAGGAATTGAAAATGAAAATCCTGCAGTGAAACCAAACTGTCTTGTTGTGTGAATGAATAGTGTGTGTGTGTGTGTGTGTGTGTGTGTGTGTGTGTGTGTGTGTGTGTGTGTGTGTACCTGGGCTGGACGGTGCGAGGTAAGGCAGACTGCACTTCAGGCGGATTCCGAAGAGGAGATTCTTCCAGAAGTGGTCGACTCATTATGAAAGAGCGTGTATCGAATTTCTTTGACTCACACCTGGCAGTGGCTTCCCCACCTAAGACAAATAACCAGACTTGGGTATACTGAAGTTGCTTCGATTTTCTTTTAGGTAGAAAATCGTATCATTTTTTCACCGATAAGCCCTAAATCTCCCAATAAAAAGGCTAAAAATAACCAGCATTTATGAAAACATCAACCGGTGCAGATGGAAACTGTCTAAAACTGCCAGTCGGAATCAAATACACTCACAATATTCATTCTGCTTACTTCGATCATTGTTCTCCAACTGAAGGCTTGAAGCTAAAGATCTGGTTGGGGCTATAAGGAAAATGTTACATAAAAACATTACCCTGAACAGTAAAGTTGGTGGAGAACAGGAAAGCAGGCCATTCAAGATGATACTCGATATATAAAAGCCCATTTAAAATGTCTGCACACCTGCGGTTCTGGAGGGAGGCACATCAGCAGAGGTGTAGGCCTGGTCTCTGGGGGCCAGGCTGTGCAGGTGCTCCTGGACCAGCTGAATAGCTGCCGTCATCTCTTCGCTGCTCGCCATGCGTGTCCGAGGCGCCACAGGAACAGTCTGTCTCTGGGCCACTGCTGGTCAAGGGCGGACAGTGGTAATGATAAGCAATAGCTTCATGGACTGGAGTGCTCAAGGCTAAATACAGAGTGGCAGAAACGTACTTGTTGGGTACGCTGTGGTTTTGGTTATCGAGTCCTGTGCCTCAGAGATGGCCTTCATGATGAGATTTCTGTTGGCCTGCTTGGCTGGTGGGAGAGTAGGTCTGAAACAATGCAACCCGCCATACAGTTAAAACCGTGGAGTGTCAGTAACAAAAGATGAAGAGAAGGAGTGCACAAAAAAAGGTAAATATTAGGGACAAATCTACTAAAACCAAGTGAGAAGAGCTGTTAAAACTGACTTCCGTTCAGGTTTGGAGGGGAGGGACACTCTGCTGGACAGGCCTCTGCCCCCATAGCTCGTCTCCTCTTCTTCAGCCTCATCACTGTCCTCATCTGCTGCTCGGCTCACTCGGACCACAGAACTTGCTACTGGTGCCTTTCGCTTCCGTGAAAAGTCTTCTGGCTGTGCAACATGAATATAAGAGTATTATTTGGGCCCTCTCTGATGGATTGTCATCAGAAAATGCAATGATTTTTGCCACAAAGAAGACCTTGTGGGATCCGGTTCTGGAGGTTCTGCTGCTCCTGCTATCATGATGCCTCATGTGAGAGGATCCTTCAATGGGTCGACAAATGTCTGCAGAGCTTATGGATGTATACTTGCTCTGACCAGGTCTGTAGATTTCAGCCGTGGGCCGACTCGCAGAACTGCGCGAACGACCATGGCTGTTGCTATATTCTACAGGTTCCTCAGCTATAAGATCATCATCCAAATCCGGTTTGATGTCGATAACGGCCTCTGAGGGGAGGGGCTCCATGTGGTGCTTAGCATGCGAGGCATGCCGAAAATATTCCTTTTCTAGTGTTCCTTTCCTGTTATCAAAAGAAATGCATTATGTTTCCTTAAGACATTTCATGTGTATACTGTGGAGTGAGCAGAAAAAAAACATTTCAATAACCTGCTTTCATGAGCAGAACTTGACACACGAGCTTCAATTCTATCAGTGCGCGAGCTCGACACTGTCAACCCTTTCAACTCCTCTGTTCTGCCGTTTTCACCCAAAGATGACTGACTCCTCCCTGGTACAGTAATAGTGTCAGACTCCAGCTGCCTGAGGGATGCAGGCTCTGGAAGACAACATACAGACAGTTAGTAAAAGAAAACCTGGAATGTATCTAGTTTAAAGGCAAAAGGATACAAAATTTAGCGAAATGGTTAAAAGTATAAATGCATTCAAACTTCCAGGCATTTATCAGAGTCCAACTTACCTACAGCAACAGATCGTAATTTCTCCAAAACACCGTGTAGCCTGAAGAGAGTCAAGATATCAAGGTTATGAGAATACAAGGCCTTTTCCCATTCCAACCAGTAAGAGGGAAACTGAGGGGAAACGAAGAACTTTGTTTGACTCGTACCAGGTTGTGAACTTAGCCGTGTTGTTTCCAAGGAAAAGAGAGAGATCGTCAGTCATCTGCTGGGGGGTTTTCTTGTTGGCAACCATGACCATTATATAGTCGGGGAGCTCATCATCTGCAAGCACGACACAGTTGACAAGAAAAGTGTGCAACAATGGATTGGACCACACAGTAGAAAATGCACCACTATAAGAGACCGAGTGTATTCTACTTACCGATGTATGCACCAAGCTCCTGAAGTTTGCCTTTGATAGCAGCCTAAAACAGATCAATTGTACATAAAGTCATCCGTATATAGCACGAATAGCATGCTAGCTGATATGAGTCACTCACAAAAATCTAAGCGTTACTCAACAGCCCACAACATAGCAATCCAACAAATTGCCGATGAAAAGGAAATAAGCCGTCTGAAAGCCTTATCAAGTCATGAATCAAACAGTCGGCTGTGTAAATACAAACAAATGGCATTCTGCTAGCCAGACACGCGCAGGCTAGCAAGCTAACGAGCTAGCAGCGATTGTGTTACGTTCATGTAACCCAGGTAGACTTTTCAAACTTAGCAAGCATTGGTACTTACTCGTATTTTCTTGCTGATTTCAGTACCAATCTCCATGTTTGATTAAATATTCGAAAAACCTAACAAAGAAGCAATGTTTTACACCTAAACAGTACTAGTAACCACTCAGAGAGAAAATTGTGACGTAGATCACGTGACTACCCAATGCAAGCGAATAGACACGAAACACATTTACTGTAAAACCCTCAGAAGAAGCTGCAAAATACATCGACTGAAATGATCTTGTGTAAAGTATCATGAAACAAAATAATATGATTTATACAACCCAGGGCTGGGGAGCAGATGTAATCCACTCGCAGATAATTGTGGAACACCATTCCTCACACAGAAACTAGTCACAAATTTGGTTCATATTGTGAATAGAAAGCTCACTTAAAAAAAATAAAGTAGATAACAATTATGTCCTGTGTGTATTAATGCCTCATTAACCATTCGACCTGAAAATTTGAGGAGTGTTATTGTAAGAATGTAAAAATGTACAAAATTCAATGTGTCCATCCGTTTTCTTTAGGTCTGCAGCCTATATCAGATGTAAGAGGGCAAGAGGGGAACACCCTAGACAGACCATCAGTCCATCACAGGGCCACACAGAGACAAATGATACAAGCAAATATGCAAGTTCACACTCACTCCTATGGTTAACCTCAAGTCTTTAAATAAAGCATGCAAAAAAAATCTGTAAAGTGCAATGTGAATAAGATTAATCTTCCGAGAGTTTATTCTATTGTATATTGTCAGGTAAAAACTGAGTTTTGATGAAGAAGATGGATTAAAACTAACACAAGGATTACAAGTATTGCACTGTCCACATGATGGCGCAAGAGACTGCTCAATGTGCAACACACAAACTAAATCCACACAGTTAGGATGTGTCAGGATTCAGATTTAGTTAGTTTCTGCTAAAGAGGGCAAAAATCACTGTTGACTAACTTGATGTGGTACGATAAAATTCAAAATGATTAAATCAAATGACTTTGTATTCTAAAATTAGGCGAGAAAACTAAATCAAATTAATTGTGAACAAACTTAACCACATAATGTCTGGTTGAGGAAATGTATTATGTTTCTGTATGTCAGCAGCCACTTGAATAATTTTACAACATGTGTCTTGAACTTTCTAATGTCCACAGCCAAATGTTTTCACTCAGCAATGATTTCCTGTTTTGCAGGCCCTCAATGCCAACCAACAATGACGGGAAGGATCTTGCCTGCAGTCTAGACAAACGTGTAACACGTTCTCTGTCGCGGGTGTCTGCTTCATCTTTCTGTGCTTTGTTTATGGTGTTAATCAAAGCTGATGCACCAACAGTTGAACACTGCCTGTTCCTTGAAACACTATAACACATTTACGATGAATATTAGATTTAATCTGCAAGAAGCAATGCCTGATATTGCCACCATAACTATGACACAAATACACAAAAAGGCACTTGTGTGTTGATACTGGAGCCTTCGCCTCTCTTCAGTAGTTATGTGCATCGCAACTTATTGTAGTTTGTGTTCATCTTCATGGACAAGGTAGTGGTGGGAAAATTAAAGCCCAGTGGTCCACTTTTTGTGAAAGAAAGCCTTGAATGGCCTGACGTTAAAACACTAGAGAGATATTAAAACCTAACTGGGGGCAGGAAGGTGTTCAATCTCATTGTTCTTCATTCCTCTTCTTAATTGGATCACGGGAGGGGCAGGACCTCTGCGGTGACCCATGTAACAATAGTCTTGCAATAACATCCATCAGCACAGTAAAAGAAAAACTGTATACTGTACGATCACACTTCATCAGTCTTCCACAGGTTGTGTCTCATGCATTCTAATGTCTTAGTGTTTAGATCCACGTCCTTCTTGTACCTTTGTGTGTTTAGAGTATTTATTTAACTTATTGTATTTGTCACCAAATACTTATATTTGTCTGCTGAATTAATGAAGGAAAGGCAGGATGAAGGTTAAGACACAAACTACAACAAACTTTCAGAGTCTGGACATTTCAGCTTTGTAATCTTGACTCTAGATTTCCTCTAGAATTGTCATTGTTTTCTTTTTCACAGGATGCGATTTGCATGGACATTTTCAAACTGACAACTCACATGTAAAAAGATAAGTGCTGTGTGAAAAACATTTCTGAGAAAAACCTATGTAAATTAATTTTGCAGCTGTTTTAAGGATCTGCACCATATATGCAAACAACAACAAATGAGCTTTTATGTGACTGGCACTGGTGTCCTTGAGACATCTACAGGGGACTGTGGTAACTGTACTTCCATTTTCTTTGAAGTGTCGTGAACAAAAAAGTTTGAGTCGTGAATCAACCAAAGAGGTTCTTATAATTCTTAAATCACACATGCCATGATGACGAAAGTCCTGACACTAAATCCTTTTCCTGAACCAGAAACACACTGAGGATCCACAGCAATCATCCTCTAAATCCTGGGACAGAGTAAAGCCCCTCAGTGTCGCATTACTGTAAGATAAGTCAAGTTCTTGCCTCCAGGATGGAAAAGAGTAGAAAAAAGGAGCCATGGGTTGCGAGGCTGTGGAGGACGGCTCTTAGAAGACATGACTTAGGAGAATAATTCATTGCACCTGCTCTGACAATGCCCAGAAACCTTATACTGGTCTCCTTGGACAAGATGACACATGCATGAATGAGGCTGCAAAAGCCGTGTGCTAGCACACAATCAAACTTTTATACTGCAAGCACACACAAATACATGGACTTGCTTGCCTCCAGTCATACAGTGGAACTGTTGTGCAACTATTGTGAACAAACATGTAGTGAGACAGATGGAGATTTATGGCTTACAGAAAAGTAATAATACTAATATTGTTTACTAAGTGCATTTGATTCTACTTTGAAACCCAGTATGAGCTAGTATGAGTAAAAGACAACACAATATCAGCCAACATCCAGAAGTTTGACGGTTAATTTCTTTTGGATATCAAAAACTGAGTCTTTGCTCATTAGTATGCACGGAAAATGAAAGTTTTTTGCCTCTTACAGCTGCTTCTAAACCTTCTGTAAGTTCAGTTTTAGTGACTTTAAGGGTCAGGCTTTTCAAGTTGATGATCAGTTTTTCACAGCTGGAAAATGACTTTCAGGCATGCCTGTTTGGAAGCGTGCAAATCATGGTAGGATCTACAATTTAACTATATATCAGGACAATAACGCGAAAAGGAGTCTCAGCTGAATTCTAAAGAAGTGAGTTTGTGAGTTCTATGTCTTTAGTTGGGCTTCTGAGTACGTGTAAATCTATTTTCATTGTAAAATAGCCCTCACAGGAGTGTCAACATATTTACTTTCTGTTCTATTTTGTTCCACACACTAAGCACCCCGAAGAGAATGTCAGTGTTTAGTCATGAAACATATGTGTGTATACTTAGTATAGTTCTGGTCTGACTTTTAAAAAAGTCAACTTTGTTTTCTATTTTAAAAAGAAAAAATAAATTACAATAATTAATTCCACGCTCAATTTTCAGTTGATATACTTCTACTTAACCCATAAATTAAACTTTTGTTGGAGACTGTTTCTTTTCTTTCTTTAATAATTGTCAGGTAGATGCAATTGGGACAGTTAAATTCACATAATAGCATGAATTTAAATATCATGATTTTCAACGATATAGCGAGACTCATTATGCTGGGATGATGCTTCCAGGATAGAGCCAGCCATTGGAATCATAGACACAGGGACACATTTTATTCCAAACTGGAGCTGTCATTTATATCAACGCAGTTTCAAAACCTCCAAACCTGCCTGCTGCTGGTACTCTCTCAAGTCAATTAAACAGAGGCAACATCGTGCATTTGCTCAGCACAAGACAGTATCTCCGAACAGATGTTAAGAATTATATGCCACATGTTCATGATATGATGTAAATAGCCAGCGCTCCAAAAGAGATTAGGCGGCTGAGTGGGGCCCACAGAAAAAAACCTGCAAGAAAACTGTTGGTGAAATCTCTCATACATAAGTAATATCTGAGATAATAACTAGACATTTAAACCAATACACATCTTTCAGTGTGAGTGGTGCATGAGTTGATTTAAATGTGTGCTCAGAAATCCTATAAAAAAAGAAGTTACTAAAAAGAAAACAAATTGTGTTCTATTATGCCTCTTTGCTGCTCTCAGTTTTAAATCTCTCAAAGAAATAATGAGTTCAAAGAATTTTCTAGGTATCTTTGTAATTCAGAGGAAAATTTGGAGCAATAAATTAACATAAATTCATCAAAAACAAAATATATATTGTCAACGAATGAGGGGTTCAGCAGACAGAATCATAAGAACAATATCCTCAATGTCATACTTTATATGTCAAAGGAAAATGTCTCGGAGCAGAAAGCCAGCATCATAGAGTAACTGAAAAGTAAACATTGTACATTATAGGTACATATACAACTCATGTCAGGGCTCATAAAAAGAATAGATAAGACACGTCGGGCACCATAACGCGATAAACCAGGATTTCTGGTCATTTCAGCTCTTCATGCTAATCAGAACTGACAGGAAACCAGACTGACAAAACCACATTTAATTTGCATCATCCACATTCTCGGCAGTGTAAGTTACAGCGTTTCTCATTTTCCCTTTCTAATCTCCCGGGTGCCTTTACCTACTAAGGAGGTTACTGTGAAGCCCCAGTTTAGCTGTGACAGCAGTGTCATTGGCATATTTATTCAAGCTGACAGTAATAAAGTAGTATAAATGGCAAAAAGCTGCAAGCACGATCCTCTCTAACCCTGATTTGTGTAAGGCGTCCTCAGGGTTAAAGCTGGCCACGTGGTTCTCTCGGTTTTTACTACATCTACAAAAAGAAGTTCAAGCTGTACTGCTTTCCTATCCATGCATCATTTTCAGCTGATGTTTAAATTGATATTGTTAAAAATAATTTTGCCCCAGATGAACACCAGATGATCACCTCTGATATGAAAAGATGAAGTGTATCTTTCTCTCCCATGCATGCGTGAACCCTTCTTCAGGACTATATGCATAGCATGCACACAATCACAGGATCACTGGTAGTTCTAGGAGGTGTTGTTTGAAGCTTCTAGGGCAGTTGAAACCTGGAAAAAGACTTCACAGCTTGGCTTGTCTCACCAAAATGTGCAACAACCTCAGATGATTACATTCACAGCTGGTTGGCGTCACCAA